GCAGGATTGGTTCCTTCTGAGGGAAGAGGGTGGGGAGGATCAGTTCCATGAGTCTATCTGAGCTTCTGATTGCCTCCGATGTTCCATGGCTTATACACATTCTCCTGTTTTCACACTATGTTTCCTCTCTGTGGGTCTGAGTGTATATAAATTTCATATATGCATTATGTTCAGATAGCCTCTAATAATGGCATCTGAACTTCCTAATCCACAAAGATCATGTTTTCCAATAAATTCACATCTATAGGCACAGAGGTAGGACTTCACCTTGATTTGGGATAACACAATTTGTTTATTCATTTGTTTGGATATCAGTCATTTCTCACTACCAGAGAAAGTAGAAAGTCAACATTTTCATAAAAATTGTGAAGGAAAATATTGAAATGAAGAAAAATGATTTTTACTTTCCTAAGAATTGGGATAGAACCAAGATTAATCAATTCAGCAATTTCCAATCTTTTCCTTCTCACAGCAAACATAAACTAATTAAAATTCTGTGGCACACCAAAAAATATATATTTTGCTGATCTGACAAAAAAAAAAGTGTAATTTTGATTCTTTCACACTGGGCAACTATCGTTGTGTTGGCTGTTGCCATTTTTAAATCTGACAATCTAAAGGAAAAGAGGCCAGTGCCCCTGCCTAAATAGATATTGCATGTTTTAAAATTTCTTGCTGCACACTCTGTTGAAAAGCACTGATCTAATTTAAGCAGTAAAACACCATAGTCTAGCTTATAAAAAATATGGGTTTTAAAGTCAGTCTCTCATGAGGAATAGCATTGCCTAAGTTACACTGGATAAAGATGAATTTCAAGCATTGGTGAGGAACAAAGCACCAGTTCAATTCTATATAGATTTGTCTATGTGTGCAGACTTATGCACGTATTAAAAGTCACATTTACCCTATCATTTTTTTATGAGTTGCATTTGAAAAAGAGAATGTCAAATCCAACCTCTAAGACTTTTGTTAAATTCAATCTTTCTCTAGTATGTTTTCATATTTTACAGATTCCACACATTGCCTTTAAGTGTGTTTTATAATTTATTGTAATTTGTCTGTTATTTTATCATATCATACTCTATAATTTCTCCTTCTGCATAATTCTTCCCAAACATACTTCATATCTTGCTTCCCAAATTAATTACCTTACCTAAGCTCAATGAAAAATGTTCAATGCCTCTGTCCATACCTATTGTCAACCCCAAGAAGAATATGTTATAAAGGACTCCTTATAGTTAATTGGGCTCAAATTCATAACCAGAGTCTAGCAGCCATTATTTAAAGAGACCCTTCACATATGTTGCACTTCAGGGGAAAGCCACAGGCTTGGGTGTCAAGCCTCCTCCACTGTGTTTCTTCAACTGTAAGAGCTCCTCATAAGAGGACTCTTTTTAAATATATATATATATATATGTGTGTGTGTGTGTGTGTGTGTGTGTGTGTGTGTGTGTGTGTGTGTATTTGATTTTTTTACAGAGAGGAAGGGAGAGGGATAGAGAGTTAAAGACGTCGAGGAGAGAGAAACATCAATCAGCTGCTTCCTGCAAACTCCCTGCTGGAGATGTGCTCACAACCAAGATACATGCCCTTGACTGGAATCAAACCTGGGACCCTTCAGTCCACAGGCCAATGCTCTATCCACTGAGCCAAACCAGTTAGGACAAGAGAACTCTTAGAGTAGACATTTTGACCAGTGAGACTGAGACTTTCGCTATTTAATTGAAACTCCATGTTTGCATCTTTATTGTCCAATCAAAGCAGTTCCATTCCAAACAATTAAAATAGTGCTTTTTGGACCAATCAAACTGTGAAGATTTGGAGTCTTCATCTACATAAGAACAAACCGAGGATCACTGGGACTGGTAACTCTGTACATGAGGCAGCTTCACCTCTGTTTCAGTCAGTGGAGCACACTTAGTTTCCGTGTTTCCCCAGCTGGCCTTGCAGCATCAGCTGAAGCTATCAATATAACTTCAGAGCTCAGTGCAACACTGGGGATGAGTTGTACTGCTGCAACTGTAAAACTGAGGCCACCTACCCTTAGCCACCTCACCAACGCTGTTTCACAAAAGTGCTGCATCATGATTGAGCTTTATCACCATTGAGCTTTCTCACAGCCATGTTATTCAACAACTGAGCTGTTTGCACTAAATAAATTCTTTGCCCCCTAACAACACCCCAAATTGGGGACTCGTGTTGGCTTTGAATTGGTGACAACTCTAAGTTGATGCTATGCACGCATACTTTAAGCTTGCACACATTCTTAGACAACCAGTTGCTCATTTTCTGCAAGTATAAGTTTGTTTTGCAAACATTTATTTTTAGACACCGATGTTTGTAGTTGTTTTCTGGAGACCCTTAAATATAGGAAAGATTTTGATTATCATTTCAGAGCCTACATTCTATATAGCAGTTTACCTTTTGCCATGAATTATTTTAATATTTGACTGATATCTACCAATTAAAAATGTTCAATGCCTCTGTCCATTCCTATTGTCAACCCCAGAACATACTGTTACAAAGGACTCCTATGGTTAATTGACCTCAAATTCATAACCAGAGTTTAGCAGCCATTATTCAAGTGCATATTACTCACCATGCATTGTGCCAGCTGGTGCCATTCCTTGCTTCTGGACAGGTGATTACAACATGAGTGATGTGCACTCGAATTTCAGGATTGTAGTCCCATGCTTGCTCATGATTAATAGCTAGTGTGCAGTCTGTTTGTGTGGGTGATCACCTTCACTTACAAGCAAGCTATTATAAACCAGGAAGGTGTATTCTGCATTAAAGTCAATCAATGGATTTTAAAAGCTCACTTGTAAGTGGTAACAATTTTAGACACGAAGGTAACAATTCGAGGACTATAAATCATATTGTATTAGTAGGTCACCCTCCTACAAGAAATCAGCACTAATACAAATTGATATCACTGATACATATCCTTTGACAGATCAGAGGAAATGTTTCACAATTACACCATCTATATATAAAAGCCTAAGCGACCAGAACAACCATTCACTATGATGTGCACGGACCACCAGGGGGCAGTTGCTCAATGCAGAAGTCAGTGTGCTCCCACAGACAACTTCCCTGGCCAGCCAACCTCCTGCAGTCCCTCCCCCCAGCCTGCAGGTCCTCATTGTCTGATTGAGGCTGTGCCTGCTTTGGGATGGGACAGGGAACTGGGGATGGGTGTTGGTGGGCACAGCCCCTTTCCCATGAGGGCCGAGGCCCAGTTCACTCCTCAGGCCTGGCAGCCAACCTCCCATGCCCTGTCCCTTCCCTGGGCCAGCAGGTCCTAAGTAGCTGCTGCCTGCTTGTCACAGTGACTTTGTGGCAGCAAGGGAAAGAGGGGGAGGTGGGGAACCTCATGGTGGTGGGGCACCGAAAATGGAGGCATTGACATCTGGAATTCATTCCTCCTACACCTGGCCAGGTGACTCTTTTCTTCTCTCCCAACCTTTCCAGGGCTTTCGGGCCCTGATCAGCCCGGCCTTGATCGGCCTGGCCACAATTGGCCCTGTTCACTGGCCAGGCCTAGGGATGAATTATGAATTTCCTGCACCAAGCCTCTGATAGTTAAATAAATCATAGCATAAAATTGGATGCTAATAACCATTTCCTGTTTCTTAGCCTTTTCTGAGCAAAAGTTCATAATTTCACCACCCCTTGAATAATGATCCTATCACAGCTTAGTAAAAATAAATTTCTAGGATCCCTACACCAAGCACTATCCTATATAATAAAAGAGTAATATGACCATCACTCCAACACACATGATAGTTGCCCCCATGGGGACATAAGATGGTAGCCACAAGATGGCCAACAGGGGAGGATAGTTGGGAGGGACCAGGCCTGCAAGGGAGGGCAGTTGGGGGGTTATCAAGCCTGCTGAGGGGTGACCAGACCAGCAAAGGAGGGAAGTTGGGGGTGACTGAGCCTGCAGGTAAGGACAATTAGGGGCAATCAGGCTGACAAGGGAGCAGTTAGGCATCAATCAGGCTGGCAGGGGAGTGGTTAGGGAGTGATCATGCTGGCAGACAGAAGCAGTTAGGGGCAATCAGGAAGGCATGCCAGCGAGCAGTTGGGATCCAGCAGTCCTGGATTGTGAGGGATGTCTGACTGCCTGTTCAGGACCAATCCTTCTAGTAGGATTGGGCGTAAATGGACAATTGGACATCCCTTGATGGATCTCAGATTGGAGAGGGTGCAGGCTGAGCTGAGGGATACCCCTCTCCCCATGCACAAATTTTGTGCACCAGGCCTCTAGTGGTAAATATAAGGTCATCGATATTGCATCATTTTACAGATCATAAATTCTTTTGTGTACTAAATGTTTGATTAGCTAATCTGAGGTAATCTCAGAGCTAGAAGAGAGGGAGACAGTTATTTCTGGCCATCTTGTCTTCACTGTACCACTTCAGATGTGGGAGTCAATCTGAAATTGAATAATTAAATCCTTAGAGTTAACTTATTTTTTAAACTTTCACATTATCTGCAATTTATTTTGTCTATTCCATTTGTGTGTTTATCATGGAGAATATCCACAAATATTTTAGCACACTGCATGTAAAGTGGGTTCTTAAACATGGTAACTGATGCTGATAATAACCTTGTATTAGTCAGGGTCATCCATTAAAACCAAGCCATTAGAATATCTGTATATGTGTGTGTGTGTGTGTGTGTGTGTGTGTGTGTGTGTGTGTGTGTGTAAAGATTTATTGTAAGGAACCAGTTCACATGATGGTGGGAGCTAACAAGCCTGAGATCTGCATGATATGCCTGCAGGCTGTACACTCAGGACAGAGAAATTTTGCGGCTCAAGTCTGAGAGCAATCTGGAGGGAGAAGTCCGTCAGGGGCCTCCATTTTTTTCTTTTAAGACTTTCAACTGTCTAAGATTAGTCTCCCCCCACCCCCCTGCCCATTGTGGAAAGTAATATGTTTACTCAGTCTTTTGTTTTAAATGGTAATCACATCTAAAAAATGCCTTCAGTGATCACTTCTGCATCACACATACTAAAATTGGAATGATACACAGAAGATTAGCCTGGCCCCTGAGCAAGGATGGCACACAAATTTGTGAAACATTCCATATCAAGAAAAAAATAAAATAAAATGAAATAAAAGTTAAAAAAAAATGCTCTCATAGCAACAGCTAGACTGGCGCTTGGCCAAACATCTGGGCTTAATAACCTCGACAAGTTTACAACTAAAATTAACCATCGTAGAGGCTTAATCTGTTACAATAAGTACCTCCACAGAGTAACAGTTTATTTTGTCTATTCTTCTTATTTGTAACAATTTTGCTATACATGCAGCTAAAAATCATATAAAATCTGATGTAGAAATGTAAAATGGATCTTCATTATTTGCAAATTCTATATTTTAGACTTCTACTTAATGAAATGTCTTTGTAACCCCAAAATCAATACTTAGAGTGCTTTCTTAGTTATTCACAGACATGCATAGAGTGACAAAAATTGTATTTGCCTAGTTGGCCATTTCCTAGGTAAAGTCTAATAAGACAATGATTTTCCTTCTTGTTTCAACCCTTATCCCATACACAGCTGTCTTTTTCACATCCTATTTAGCGCCATTTTAACAAAATTTTTTTTTTTTTTGCTTCTTTGTGATTTTGCTGTTTAAAATGACCCCAAAGTGCACTTCTCTGGTGCTGGCTATCTGTTCTCAAATGTAAGAAGGTTGTGATAGATTTTACAGAGAAAATACCATCTCATAGAGTTATTGGCTGTGAGTTCAATGTTTAAAAGTGTCTTTAAACAGAAAGATACATAAAACAAGATTATTCATTGATCAGCTGTTGAAAATTGACCAGAGGCTTTTAGCAACTTTAGCTAGTATTTCTCTTAGGAACAATGCTTCAGTGTTTGTAGTAACATTATAGGACATCTGCTGTGGATGATGAGATTAGACTTTAGAACATCCTTTTATAATTGCATTAATGTTCTTTTAATGCATTAATGTTTTTATTGTCCTTACAATATATTATTGTCAGTTTTAAGAAGAATTTGCTCTAAATACACAGTTGTATTTATCCTGAAGACAAATAGAGATTAGATGATGGATGGATGGATGGATGGGTAGATTAGATAATGCACAAACACAACCAATACAAAACAATATTTGCACACACACATACACACCTACATACATTTTCTATTTCATTGTAAAGGTCCAGAAGTAATAAATACCCAATAATGCTTAGCAAACCTAGTGTCAAAATCAAGTTCCCAAATAATTTTATTAGTAAAAGAAATAGGACTCCATGAAGAAATGACCAATTCTGGGCTTGGTAAGTGGAAGCACAAAACAAACCTATAATATACTGTGCTAGAAATTAAAAAGGTGCTCAAATAGAAATATGCTAAAAATTATAGGAGCCAGTTTGAAGGTACTTATACTAGATAAATTGTTGATAGTTGGAACATCCCAGCAATCAAGTTAGAATTCATGAGTTACATTTTATATAAATAAAAACATGAAAAAGAATGAAAACTTCTTGTTCACTTCTTAGTTTTTTCTTACAATGCTAACAGACAATATATTTTTTTAAAAAGTGAAGTTGGAAAATCCCCACTAGGCAAACATAATAATAATAAATGATTCAGACAATGGAAATCAATGAATGTAAAATGAATGGGTGAAAATTGAATGAAGAAAAGGATGTTCATTTGTTTCAAGAGTATATACCTGCACAATACTTACTAGTCAAAAAAGTAAAAATAGTAACTTTTCTGTGTTGAATTCTGAAACTCCTCAACCAGGTAACAAAGTTGACATCACCAATAATAAGAGAAATGATGTACCCCCCAGTATGAAGCACAGAAAAGACACCAGATCACCTCTATGACAATTTGTCAAGAAAAGTGATCATAATCAACCATGAGGAAATGTCAGGCAACTCCAAATTGAGAGTCATACTACAAGAATCCTCTATATTTGTCAAAAAATTTAAAAATGAAATACAAAAAACAACTGAGGAAGTATTCCAGAATAAGAGATAATACTTTTTTCTTTCAATCCATAATAAATAGCATCACAAATCAAAGTTCTTATTTTAATATGTTTAAGAATATGTAAGTATTCCTTGTTAGTGTAACTATAAACCTAGTTTTACACAAATAGAATATACACAATACTAGAATTTTGTCTGAGTCCCCAATTTGGAAAAATAATAGTTTTTATCTCAATATTACAGGAAAATTATTTCCACATGTCATCAAAAGACAATTGTGGTGGCATCAGCAATGTCTAAGAAGTGGCTTGAAGATCTTAAAGATACAGACATTTTGTAGTTAGAATTTTAGCTAGACTATTAATGGACCATACTACTTCAAACACTCCAAGCAAATTAAGCAATGTCATAAGAGAACCAATAGATGAGCATGTCCTACCTTTTTGAATTTGAAAGGCACACAGATTTGTATCTGGACTAAACATTTGAGGGTTATATGCTGTGGCTACAGTGACCTGTGGTACAGAACAGGGGGAGGTAGGCCTGGTTTGGCCTCTTTCACCAAATAGAGAATGAACCAGCCAAGAGGCATTATAAACCATCCCACTTAAGAGAGCTTCATTCTAGGGGGAATTTAAGGTCCCAGTTGAGGACTTTATTCTGTGTACTAAAGAACCTCCCAAACATCAAAACACCATCCAAAATGCATGCACACACATGTACACTCCACACACGCAATTCCAAGTCTTCGCAAATCACCAAAGCAGATTGGTGAGGCCATTATACAAACACAAAACCAAGAATGCTAATTATACTGAAATCAAATGGAAAGGTGCAGTTATTTATAATTCTTCCAAATATAGGTAAGGAATAGGAAATGGGTAAAGTTCGAGTTTACAATTATTGAAAAAGTAAGTTCTGTTACATCATTATATATTATTTATTAATATTATATTTAGTACATTATATACTATTATAGATTAATGTCCATTGCTACTAAATATTGTGTTTAACTAATATTCATACAGTAATATCACCATAGTAATGCACAGAATTAATGTCATATATTAATATTATAATATATTCGCCCTCTCTAAATTCAGGTCATTCAATAAACCAATGCTTCCAAAATAACTTAAGAACCTGTCTTACTTTAGGTACCCTCCATAAAGCTACCTAAATTATTTTTCATGAACTTCTAAAACACATAATTCCCTTTGATGAAGCAGATCTCTGTATTACCATAGGCCTATCTGGATTGGCATATTCTTATTAAGTTTTGATTTTGAGATTTGTTATTACTTTTATTGTTGTTGTTAATCCTTACATGAGGATATTATTTCCATTACTTTTCAGAGAAAGTGAGAGAGAGGGCGAGAGAGAGAAACAAACATGGATTTGAGAGAGACACCCCAACTGGTTGCTTCTTGCACATGCCCTGACCAAGGTTGAGGAGTGAACTCACAACCCAGGTGCATGTTCTTGACCAGGAATGGAACACTTCATCCTTTGGTGCACAGTCAGACACTCTAACCATCTTGCACACTGGCCCAGGTTAGGCTTGCTAATGTTTTCTTACTTTTAAGGATCAGTAAAAGTCCCATCACATTGAACCTCTCAGATTCCTCTGATTTAATACATTGAAAATACATATAAAAGTCACCACATAAAGACATTCTTCTCTACTAGACTTTTGTAGGTTAGCCTTGCTCATTTCATCAGAAAGAAAGTTTCTTGGGTGTGAACATCAAGTTTCCCAATTCTCAATGAAACGGTCCTGTGTGCAATTAAAATGTGATATATTTATTCAATGACTGTTATTCTAAATTAAAATTCAAAGTCATTATAAAGTATAAGCAATGAGGAAATTCTTTAATAACTTTTGAAAGCATGCTAATAGTTCTACTTTGAAACTTTCACACATTCAAGTTTTATAGAGAATTTACTTTTTAAAAGTGATGATGGTTAGTTTAATACATTAGTGGTTTGAATTTTAAGCTATATGTTTTCAGCAAAACAAATTACCTAGAGGATTCTAAACCCTCCACAGTACACTGACAGTATAATCAGTATCTAGGCATATTAATGCATTATTAATAAGTTTTTAGAATTTTAACAGTTTTATTAATATTTCTATATACCTTTAATACTCACAGGCAGTACACAGGCAGTAAGATAAATGAAAATTATGGCACTATTGATGTAAAAATAAATGTTTTATAGATAAATTATGGTTACATATTAAAGTTTACTAGATATAACAAATACTAGAAAATCAATTTAAACTTCTTATAAAATCCTTGCACTAGAACTAGCCTGGTATATGTCAATTGCAAACCTGTTCAATTGTGAGTCTCCAATGTGGAATTTAAAATATAAATGCATACTAGATTGGCAAAGACCTAGAAAATCCATAAGTTTGTGGTTCATTCTATCATATTTATCCATTCATTTCTTTCTGGAAATATGAATGCATAACTTAGCCTTAATCTTTTAGGCAACTAGTTGGGTGTGTGATCAAAGCAATACTTTGTGCATCTTCTTCTTAAAAAATAAAAGGAATTTAATTCTTGTGTGTAACTCATGTTTTTCTTCTACTACCTACTATATCTGCACTTGTACTTCATGCATGAATGTTTTAATTTAGTAAAAGTGCAAAAAAAGTGCATTCATTTCTATGAATAGCCAGCATCTGATGAAAGTATATTGAATATTAAAGTGTATGTAGTCCTGGCCTGTATGACTCAGTTGTTAGACATCATCCCATGCACACATCAAAAAGTTGCTGATTTGATTCCCATTTAGACCACACGCTCAGGTTGCAATCCCTGGTAGGGGCCGTGAAGGAGCCAGCTTGTGCTCTCACATCAATGCTTCTCTCTTTCTCCCTTCCTCTCTCTTACTCTCAACATCAATAAAAATATATTTTTTTTAAATGAAGTGTGTAATAAATATTCTACTCCAAAAATTATAATATTTATATATTACACTAGAGGAAACATCTTTAGCTAGGAAATAGGGTAAGAAAAGCAAGAAAGCTAGGCCTGGTGTTCTTGTTATCTGAGGTGAACATCCAGTTGCCATAAATTTTAGTAATTTGATGATCTGGAACATCCTAAGCTG